GTGCCTTTTCTAGTAACCTCTGCGCCACTCCGGAGCTCATGGATTTATCAAACAAGTTTGTGGATTATTCTAAAGGACATCCACTAGCTTTGAAGCTGTTAGGTTCTGATCTATGTCAAAGAGATAAGTCTTACTGGAAGTTGAAATGGGAGAGGTTGCAGAGAAGACCAGATGGGAAAATCCATGACGTGCTGAAAGTGAGCTATGAGGAGCTATGCGAGGAAGAACAGAGCATTTTTCTGGATGTTGCCTGCTTCTTTAGATCGGAGAAGTTGGATTTTGTTTCGAGGGTTCTGAGCACTTACCATACTGATGCTTCTATTCTGATTAATGACCTTATTGACAAGTGTTTGATAACAGTCTCGGATAACTGCCTTGAGATGCATGACTTACTGTTTACAATGGGTAGGGAAGTTGGCTATGCATCATCCATTAAAGAAGCAGGTAACCGAGGACGATTATGGAACCAAGAAGACATATGTCGTGTTTTAAAGTACAAAACGGTGAGCCAGAATGTTTCATTTTCTTATGAATGCCATTATTCTATTATAGTCTTTTTTATATGAACATTTTTCTTTGGCAGGGCACTGCAGAAATCAGAGGCATCTTCTTAGATATGTCTAATGTAGATAGCATGAAGCTAAGTGCTGATGTTTTCACGAGGATGTGGAATCTTAAGTTCCTAAAGTTCTACAATTCTCATTGTTCCAAGTGGTGTGAGAATGATTGTAGATTACGTTTTCCCAATGGGCTTGATTGCTTTCCAGATGAGCTGGTATATCTTCACTGGCAAGGGTACCCTCTGGAGTATCTACCATCGAACTTCAACCCTAAGAAACTCGTTGATCTCCATCTGCGTTATAGCAACATTACGCAACTGTGGGAAGATGAGAAGGTACAAAGTCTCCCATTTCATCATATTGTTGTGTTATTACATATTAAGTCTGTATGTGGTTATTAACTTATTGATCTATATATTGCAGAACACAGGAGAGTTAAGGTGGGTCGATCTCAGTTATTCAAAAGAGTTGATGAATCTAACTGGCTTGTTGGAAGCTCGTAATCTCGAGAGATTGAACCTTGAATGCTGTACAAGTTTAACCAAGTGTTCAGCAATCCGGCAGATGGACAGTCTTGTTTCACTGAATCTAAGAGATTGCATAAACCTCAAGAGTCTTCCAAAGAGAATCAATTTGAAGTCTCTGAAGTTTGTTATCCTCAGTGGATGTTCAAAGCTCAAGAAATTTCCAACCATCTCAGAAAACATAGAATCTCTTTATTTGGATGGCACAGCGGTAAAGAGAGTTCCTGAATCCATAGAAAGTCTACAGAAACTTACTGTCTTGAATTTGAAGAAGTGTTCCAGGTTGATGCATCTTCCTACCACTCTCTGCAAGCTGAAATCTCTTAAAAAACTGCTTCTCTCTGGCTGTTCAAAGCTAGAGAGTTTTCCTGACATCAACGAAGACATGGGAAGCTTAGAGATTCTGCTCATGGATGATACCGCCATCACACAAACTCCCAGAAAGATGTATATGAGCAATCTCAAGCTTTTCTCATTTGGTGGATCTAAAGTCCACGATCTCACGTGTTTGGAACTGCTGCCTTTCTCTGGATGCTCTCAGTTATCAGACATGTATCTCACAGATTGTAATCTGTATAAGTTGCCGGACAACTTTAGCTGCTTATCATTGCTGCAGTCTTTATGCTTGAGCAGAAACAATATCAAGAATCTACCTGGAAGCATCAAGAAACTTCATCATCTCAAGTCTCTTTACTTGAAGCATTGCCAAAACCTCGTTTCTCTTCCAGTGCTTCCATCAAACCTGGAGTACTTGGATGCTCATGTTTGTAGCTCACTCGAAACAGTAGCTAAACCCATGACGCTTCTTGTGGTAGCTGAAAGGAGCCAGTCTACTTTCGTCTTCACTGATTGTTTCAAGCTAAACAGAGAAGCACAAGAAAATATTGTGGCTCATACTCAACTCAAGAGTCAAATACTGGGGAATGGATCCATTCAACGTAATCATAAGGTATAGTCACTCTCACTATGTTATTGTTGCACTTACATTTTTATTCACACCTTATGCTTAAACTTTTTTTATCATTTCAGGGACTAGTTTCGGAACCTTTAGCTAGTGCAAGTTTTCCAGGAAACGACTTGCCATTATGGTTCCGTCATCAGAGGATGGGATCTTCAATGGAAACTCACCTGCCTCCACATTGGTGTGACGATAAGTTCATCGGACTCTCTCTCTGTGTAGTTGTCTCATTCAAGGACTACGAAGATAAAACCAACCGATTCTCAGTGATATGCAAGTGCAAGTTCAGAAACGAAGACGATGACTGCATCAGCTTTACTTGTAACCTTGGGGGATGGAAAGAGCAATGCGGATCATCATCTAGCCGCGAAGAAGAACCAAGAAAACTTAGCTCTGATCATGTCTTCATCAGTTACAACAACTGTTTCCATGCCAAGAAAAGCCATGATCTCAACCGATGTTGCAACACCACAGCCTCGTTGAAGTTCTTTGTTACTGATGGTGTAGCTAAAAGAAAGCTAGATTGCTGTGAGGTGGTGAAATGTGGGATGAGTTTGTTATATGCACCTGATGAGAATGATTGTAGATTGCAGGGAATTGAGGAGAGTAACCTGGAGAAAGCGGTGTTTGGAAAAGAAACTGAAACGGCAATGGATGAAGCTCTTGTGTCCAAGAGAGGCCGTTGCTGTATACAAGAAGAAGAGTTACTAAACGGGAAAAGAATAAAGGAAGAAATCTCTTTTGCTGAGTATGAGTGTTCTGTTCTAAGTTATATAGACCCAGCAAAACCTAATCTCTGTAAATAAGTAGAGACTGATTTATTTAAGTCTTACTATTGTGGGTGTGAAGACTTTGCTATTTATACTTTTATGGTTTTGCATAGAGAAAGTCATCTCGTTTGAGAGTGGAGAGGAGAGGACTCCACTAAATATCCTTTCAAAACCTTGTAATCGTCATATATTTTGAGAAATAAAGCTTTGTTTTTACTAGATCATTACCTTTGTTTCTACAAGTAACATGTTGATTGAAGATCAAGGCAATGATCTCTTGAGAGTGGAGAGGAGAGGACTCCACTAATATCCTTTCAAAACCTTGTAATCGTCATATCTTTTGAGAAATAAAGCTTTGTTTTTACTAGATCATTACCTTTGTTTCTACAAGTAACATGTTGATTGAAGATCAAGGCAATGATCTCTTGAGAGTGGAGAGGAGAGGACTCCACTAATATCCTTTCAAAACCTTGTAGTTGTCATATCTTTTGAGAAATAAAGCTTTGTTTTTACTAGATCATTACCTTTGTTTCTACAAGTAACATGTTGATTGAAGATCAAGGCAAGGATCTCTTGGTTGGATACACCTACTGAGAGAGTAAGGCACATTTTTTCTAAAAACTTAGGATATAGATCTTTGTTTACGTTCCATTTACATATCCAAAAAGAAGGTGTAATAGTAAGTAGTACCTGTCTTTAGAAATTAGTTTGGTCCTCCATAGTCTTAGGATATCCAGATTAAAGATATTATTACAAATGTCTTACAATTATTTTGTAATTTATTTACTTCTACTATTATGGTATTCCACTTTTCAAAAGAAGAGAGGACATACGTTGATACTATTACAAATTGTATACTACAGTATAACCTCTTTAAATTAATAATCTATAAATTAATATCTCTATAAATTAATATAATTTTATAGTCCCAAATTAAATTTTTGGTTCAATTAATATCTCGATAAATTAATAATCTCTATAAATTAATAAAAAAATTAGTTTTGGTGTACTCCCAACATTATTAAGTTATAGAGGTTTCAGTGTCATTGATTTCATTGTCATTGTTAAGTATTACTGGGGAGAGAAAACATATTATGCATTGTTTATTATATTGTGAAATTTAAAATTCTTGCGTGATAAATAAGGCTCAGTATAAAAATAGTATACTTGCTGTTATAACCTACTATGCATAATATATTATGCTGTGAATTTAAAATTCTTGCATGATAAATAAGCTCTGTATATAAATAGTATACTTGCTGTCATAATTATTATACTGTGAATTAAAAATTCTTGCATGATAAACAGGCTCAATATATATACAGTATACTTGTTGTCACAATATATGTCATGTTTGTTTTTTTATTTAGATGTTGAATATGGATGCAAATATTTAAATATTGTTTGTTTGGATACTATTACATTAACATCTAAATGTTGTATTTTGATTCGAAATCTATAATATATAGAATATCTAGATATTTGAGATGTTGATGCAACATATGAATCTTAAATCTAAAAGATCTAAATACCATTCAAGACAAATATAAAATTAATTAGTTTAGTTATATCAATAGATTATATAATATTTTTATATTGAAAAATTGAGTAATTTCACCGAACAATAACGAGTTTCTTGCCAAAATCGTAAAATTTGGTTTTCCACCAAAATTACTTAATTAAATTTTCCTCTAAAACTGTAAGATCTTATTGTCTTGCCAAAATCGTCAAATTTCATTTTCTGTCCAAACCGTAAAATTGAACATTTTCTCAAAAACTACAAAATCGTGTTTTTCCTAAAAACCGCAAAAAGAAGTTTTGTGATAATCTATTTTGTTTTCTAAATTATTTATTTTCTTTAAACATTTTACAAAAATTGATCAAACATTTAAAAAGTGTTTGCCATTGACCGAATCCCACAAAGTATGAAGACCCAACAGCAATTTACTCGAACAACGAATCACATGTCACGCGCGTTTTTCGGCATGTGTTTCTATTAGCAACCGTTGACTAAACTATACGTTCTTTTAAAAACAGCCGCCGACTTGTCTTCCGCTAGATCAATTCTCTTTGTTCTTTAATTTTCACTTCAAAAACTTCTTGTGTTCTTGTTCTTGAGCTGACACCAGATTCGTTCCCTGTTTCATTTAAGACAACAGAAGACACAAAAAGCAAAAAAAGTGAAGCAATGCCTTCACAAACCAAACGCAAGAAACCTTATTCTCATTTTAGACTTCGCAAGTTCCTCTTCTTCACCGTTCCATTCACCATCCTGGCTCTCTTCCTCCTCCGCACCTCTTCTAGCTCCTCCTCCACCGCTTCAGTCTCCTCCTCTTACACAACATATCAGCCACCGTGGTTTGGCGACCTTCAAACCGCCCAATTTCCCTGGAACCGCCTCGCTTTCTCCTTAACCAACCCTCCTCCCAAAACTCTAAAACTAGCTGTTTTCTCCCGGAAATGGCCCACTGGGCCCAATCCTGGCGGCATGGAACGCCACGCCTTCACTCTCTACACTGCTTTAGCCCGCCGTGGACACCGCGTCCACGTGTTCACCTCTTCCTTAGACCCTTTCCTAAAAACCGACAAAATCATAAACCTTAAAATCCATCCCCACGGAGATGCGGAGTCCGGGAAATGGCGGTACAACAAAGCCTGGGAGCTTTACCAAGAAGAGAACCAGAAGCAACCTTTTGACGTGATCCACTCCGAAAGCGTGGCCTTACCGTACTGGAAGGCCCGGGAGGTTCCAAACCTAGCCGTAACATGGCATGGCATTGCACTAGAGAGCTTACATTCAAGCATTTACCAAGACCTGATCCGTAAACCAGGCGAACCAAGATTACAAAGCTTCAATGCAAGCCTATACAGTGCCGTGCTTCCCAAGATACTCGACGAAATCAGATTCTTCAACAACTACGCTCATCATATCGCAATAAGTGATAGCTGTGGAGAAATGCTAAGAGACGTTTACCAAATCCCGGAGAAAAGGGTCCACGTGATCTTCAATGGAGTCGATGAAAATGGATTCACATCAGATAAGAAGCTACGGTCTCTGTTTAGGTCAAAATTAGGGATACAAGAAAACTCATCAGCGATTGTATTAGGAGCCGCAGGGAGATTAGTGAAAGACAAGGGACATCCGTTACTCTTCGAAGCTTTTGAAAAACTAATCGAAACGCATTCTAATGTTCACCTCGTGGTAGCTGGTTCAGGCCCATGGGAGCAACGTTACAAGAAACTTGGCGATCAAGTTACCGTTTTAGGATCCCTAAATCCAAATGAGCTCAAGGGCTTTTACAACGGTATCGACATATTCGTGAACCCGACGCTTAGACCACAAGGGCTTGATTTGACGTTGATGGAAGCGATGTTGAGTGGTAAACCGGTCATGGCGTCAAGGTATCCGAGCATAAAGAGGAGTGTTGTTGTTAATGATGAGTTTGGGTTTATGTTTGCACCTAACGTGGAGGCTTTGACGACGGTGATGGAGGTTGCGGTGGCTGAAGGAGCGGAGAGGTTGGCTGAGAGAGGGAGAAAGTGTAAAGAGTATGCGGCGGAGATGTTCACAGCAAGTAAGATGGCTTTGGCTTATGAGAAGCTTTTTCTTTGTATAAAAGATGAGAGGTTTTGTATATACCCCTAAAGTAGTAACTACTTTTATGGGAAAGTGAATCTTTGGTAATATAAAAATCTATAACAGTCCATTAATAGCTAGATCCTACATTATAAGGATATACACACAAGTCATTGGGGACTGAGACAAGTTTCTATGAATCATTGTTTGAACTTATCCGAGCTTGTTCAAACCGTTGATAAGCTTTTCTAGTTCTTATAAACAGGACAAGACTTGAACCTAGTCCAAGTACCGACAAGCATCCCCACCAGACAAACGTCAAGTAATAGCAACCTCGTCCCATACACACGACAGAGTCGGTAATAGATTTGATCCCGCTTAAACCATGGGAGTCATAGACTAATGCAGCCAAGAAACCGTAGATCAATGATCCTATAGGTATGTTTGTGATCAAGATATTGTGGTTAACTCCAACACTGTTCGGTCCAAAAAGCTCTGATGTGATTGAAACCGCTGCTGCGAAGATGAATCCTGAGCTTAGACCCATCAGAGCTGTTCCCACTTGTAATGCTGACGCGGTTCCTGATGATGCTAGCAAGAAAAGCGCGATTGGTGTTGGTAGTAACGCGATTGCTAGCCACCCAGTTCTTGCAAAATAAACCTTCCTGCACAACTTAAACCAATCAAAACCCGCAAAACCAAAGCATAAACTCTATAAATTAATATTTGATAAATTAATAAATAAATATATTTCATCAGTTCAAAGTTGAGCAAGATCAAATGCACTTACGCTCGGATATAGTCCGGTGTTGCAGAGAGTAACCTTCCAAAGAACGAGAAAGATGAATAAAGTGTGACAAGAGTTGTGGTGTTTGAGCTTTGTCCTAAAGACTGAGCAATCTGTCCGAGGTTGTTGCTGTACACAAGTCCAATGGTTCCACCGCAGAAGTACGCAATATAGTAGAACCAGAAGTCTGCTCTGCCTAGGAGCTGCCACAAAGAATGTTCAATTCCCAATAGCTCAAGCTGACCTCTTGTGATAAGCTTCTTGCAACAACAAGACTCATCAGCATCACCTTCCTCCACAGCTATAGTCTTAACCGGGTTTGACACAACATCATCGTTCAGCAACTGGTAGCTTTCTCTATTGGCTTCATGTGCAAGCATCCCTTTATGCAACTCAAGCTCATCAGGATCAACAAGAATGAAACCGGAACCTTCGAGGCGGAAACTGGTGTGGATTGTGCGATGGTACCAGTTCCGAGCGATGACTAAACCAGGAATGCATAAAGGGAGGATTAAGAGAAGGATTGCTCCACCAAAGAGGAGACGAGCAGAGGTTATATCAGAGGAGTTTGACTCAAAGAGAAGGAGGTAAACGCCGTTTAAAGCAGCGAGAATGTTGAGTAACAGAAACATGAGAGAGTCACGGCGAACTCCATCAGGTGGAAGAGGCTCAAAAGGCGGTTGGCGAAGAATCGGGATGATGGCAGTGAAAGAGATGACAAGAGGGATGAGAGCGTTTAAGAGAAGGTAGAGCTCTGGAGAGGTTGGATTGATTGCGTTGTAAGCGAGAGTGTATAGAGCAGCACTTACACCGTTGAAGCTGACGGTGAGGGAAAGAGCAAGTGATCTGTTTGCAGGGAAGTTACTGATGCAGAGGACAAAGCAGACTGTGTTGAACCAGCAAATGCTTAGACCAGCAAGTAAGCAACAGAGAAACACCTGCACAGAAGCTTAGCGAAATTTAGTCAAAAGTTTCTTCAGAGAAAACAATGCAGATAAAATTGTTTTATTCATATTATATATTAGTTGCAGATTTTTGAAGCAGCCATAAAACACAAGGCCAAGCCAAAAATGCCAAAGAAGAAGACTTGTTGGACCAACCAACCTCAAGGATCCAGTATTTACCAAGAAATAGAAAGGACAAATCGACAAAATAGAAAAAAATTGTGAGTTGTGAATTGCGACAAAATTAAATGTATAAATATATGAATAACTCTAAAATATGTACAGTTAACATTAAAAAGTGAGAAAACTCACTAAACTTTCCAAACAAACAATAAAGAGTTTTGATCAGAGAAAACTATGTCTTGTATTTTAGAAATGTGTATCTTTCAGCAGTTTGATAAATTCTATCATATCATTTTAAAAGAACCAATAATTTTACAAGATGAGGTTTCTATAAACTTGACAAATTTTAATGTTTGTACTTTATGCTAATAACAACTCAACCAAACACGTACTTGTCTTATTTTTGTCGGTCAACTAAACAGATTTGTCTCTTTAACTATATAGTCGATCAATTACAATGATAACAGTTGAGTAAAATCTTGATACTTTTTTTTACAAAAAAAAAGTTTCAATTTCTAAACAGTGAAGATGTAGATGATTACATTCTCTACATTATAAAATTCAAGATTTTTTCATCATATATTATTAATTAATTGATTAACAATGAATTATTCCCAATCATAAAGTAGTGGTTCACAATAAAGAAGAATATCATAAACTAAATACTTTCTGTAAATTATAATGTATATTATAAAGTGATGCAAAAATTGTATATTATAAAGTAGAGATTCTCAATAAAAAAAAAAATTTGTTTCAAATGAATGAAAAACAGTTTAGAAAGAAGAGTGAAGTTACCATAATATAAGGCAAAGAGATGAAGTTAGTTATGACTAGCCACTGTACTCCATAACCGACGAACCCCATAAACGCCGCCGCGAAAAGCACCGTCCAAATCGGAAAATACATCAGCGCAAGCCCCGACGACCACCCGAAAACCTTCCCGAGATCGGATGCGACGGCGAGGTAGTTCAACTGCACCTGAGAAATCCCCAGAACTGATTTAAGTTGTGAAGAGTAAGCCGAGAAATCGAAGTTCGTCCCGGTGAAAGCCTGAATCCAAATCGTCGCCACCAGAATCATCCATTTTCGCGACTGTCCCGCCATACGATCTCTGCCGGCGTTGGGAGCTGAAGATCGAATCTCTGAGGTTTTGGTTTTATTTTATGTTTTGCTCCTTTTTTTTTTTGTATGGTAGAGAGAACTTGAGGTGGTTGCTTGTGAGTGTGAACTTTTCTCCTTTGGTATGTGTGTTTATATTACAAATAAAACAATTATTTTGGTGACCAAATAAATTAAAACCATATTAATTAAAAAAATAACTCTCATGTTACGTGTCAAAATGTAATTTATTTATTATAAATGTACCCATTTTTCGATGAATGAATTTGTGAATTAACCAAAAACTCTCAATAATCATTTAGGTTATAGGTTTTTATAGTACATATAAATTGGAAAGGTTAAGTAAATAACTAAAATCACTGTTCTTTTTTTCATTTTTACCCTCTCTAGTCTCCACTATAAACCGAAAGTTATTATACTACTAGATATAGACCCATGCAAAAGCACATATTTTATTTGATGTTTTCCTTCTAAAGAAAAAAGAGAAAGATTGAAAAGTTTTTGAACATCTATTTTATATTTTTTTATATGTTGGTGATAAACTTATTAATGAATATTAATTTGGTTTGCGCCATTAATTTTGATTAATATTTATGTTTCAGTAATTATGATGCTTTAAAAAACTATTAAAAATTATTTAATTTATAATATTAGTTAATCATAATATTTATAATATTAGTTAATTTATAGTACTATTTAATTTTCTTTTCAATTTTTAATTAAAATATTAGTTGTAGGTAACTGAAATATATAGATAAATATTGTTGTAAACCCTCCATATTTTTGTTTAAAAATTTAAAACAACACAATTCCAAATACTTAATGTATAATTGATCAATATTTTTTTATAGTCAACTTAATATCAACTATGTTATTGGACAAACATCAAATTTATTTACCGTAGCATAAAATGTGTGTAGTTCTCTTTCTCGGTATATTATATACTAATGAAAACTTTTTAATATTGTTAGAACACTTTTATCATTATGTTATGTGCTTGTTAAGAATTTGAAGTACTACCATTATACTGACTTTTAATAGTGTGGCATACAATTTTCATGAGAGAATATTAAATTTGGTAAATATAAAATATTTTTTGTTCACACTTTAAGTGTTGTGCCAACACCAATCCATACCATTTAGCCAAATCTTCTCTCTTTGGAGTGACTTCGTATTTTTCTTAACAGTGAATATATAACAGTAATTTCATAAATATGAATGGCTGAATGTTGTTATAATACCATGTTGACACATTTCTTGTGGTATAATTGACAGAGTTCATCTAAAATCACCATTTAAAAATATTGTCTTTCTGCCAAAAGCTTTTATTGCATCTGAATCTGTTAAGGAAAGTACGTCTCACAAACTCTTATCAAAAGCTTCAAACACAAATCGATGATACATTAAATGTTTCATTCAAAATAATGAAATTTATTCTTTCAAGTAATTCAAAAAGCATGTTATCATGATTGTTGTCGCACTTTTTGTCTTGATGATAATCTATTGGAATCTTGTAACACTTATGTGTTGTTTACAATTATAAAACCAACATTCATTACAACAAAATTAAAGTAACTTTTTAGAGCATGGGCATAGTTTAATTACAAACATAATTTTGATATATTCTCTTACATATATAAATATTATTTAGTTATAGATGTATATATATATATATATATCTAAATATTATGAATATAAAATATAATTCATTTGTTGAACCTTTCAGTTGAATAATTTCTTTTCTTTATAACTTTGAAATCAATTTTATTTTACAGGATAATGAAGAAATTGTTGTCTTTCCGATGTTATTCATTTAATAAATTATATCTCAAATTTGTGATCAAAGAGTTTATAATTTCTAATGCAAACTTGCATATTGAAGTTACAGATTTCAATAAGATTTCTTCACGTAACTCATATTCAAAACTTTCTAAACGGGATTGATGTACACATTCTTAAATTATAGTTTCTTATATTTATAACAAATTAAGTTTAATAATAAAAAGATATGTGTTTTTAAAAAAAATTAAATACATTTACTTTCTCGTCATGTGATATAAAATTCATTTCTATAGTTTGTTATTCATTTTCATTTTTTTTGCTCTTCGCTTTCTACTAAGGGCAATTCTGTCCAATAGATATTTTTAAGTTTTTCTCACAAAAATAGACCTCAAAAACTAAAATGACCAAAAAATCATTTTTATTTTTTATTTTATTTTATTTTATTTTAATTTGAAATCATATCCCTAAAACATCACTCCTCAACTCTAAACCCTATACTCTAAACATAAACCCTAAACCTTAAACCCTAAACCCCACCTCTAAACTCTAATATCTAGATTAATTAACCGTAGGAGTATAAGTGTATATTTACTTCTTTTAATAAAATATTTAAGTTTATTTTGGTCATTTTTATTTTTAAAATCTATATTTGTGACAAAAAGTTTCTTTTTTTAAATCCATCCTATAAAATTTATCTTCTAATAAAGTGTACTACATTTAATAAAAAAATATTTAACTGAACATATGTTAAACAACTATATGAGTTCATTTTTACTTGAAAAAACTAATAAAAATTTAAGTTAGAAGAAAAAAACTAAATTGTAAAAAATAGAGGCAAAAGTGACTTATAACACTTATAAACATGTAAAACATAATATTGTAATAAAGTGATTTTAAAAATAATTTTATATTTTCTTACATTTACAAACATTTATTCATAATATTTATATGTACTCACTTACAAAGACATCATCATAATTTTACAACAGTTACAACATAAGATGTAGAAAGTGTCGTAATAGTAAAATTAGCGTATGTATCATGAAAATAAAAAAATACCCACGTAATATTTTTGTTGTAAATATTATTGTGTTATGTAAACAAAATATGAGAAAAATCAAACAGTTAGACCTATATATATGTAGAATATTTGTAGTTCTTTTGGTTTATGATTTTTAAATAGAAAAGTTTTTTTAGTAAACATGAAAGTTAGTTATTTACGAATACACCTCTTTTGTTTAGGATTTTCAAAAAAGTAAAATTATATTAAATATTTTTTATAAGTATTTGTAAAGTTTATAATACGTTTTCGCATTATATTTTTTTTGAAAACTACTATTTTATTTTATAATTCTCTTTGTATATGAATTAAAATAGGGAACTTAGGATTTAAAAAATGAAAATTAATTACAAATAACTATTTACAATTACCTTTTAGTTAGGATTTTTAAAAAGGAAAAATACTTTTGATTTATGATTTTTAAAATGGGAAATTATCTATTAAACAGAAAAGTTAGTTATTGACAAAACAAAATTATTTTTACACCTCTTTTGTTTAGGATTTTAAGGAAAGTTATATTAAATATTTTTTATAAGTATTTGTAAAATTCATAATTCGTTTTTGCTTTATATATTCTTGAAAATTTTATTTTATGAACTAAAATATGGAATTTAGGATTTAAAAAAAAGAAGAAAAAAATACTTGCAAATAAATATTTACAATTATATTTTATTTAGGATTTTGAAAAGGAAAAAATTCTATCAAATATTTTTTATTAATTAATTTTATATTTATGATAATTTTTTTGACACATATCATAATCTCACGATTTTTATTGACACATGTCGCGATCATGTTAATTAGTAACTTTGAAGAACCAAGCTTTATATAATAAGATATGACTATTATTCTACTTTCTTAATATAGTACAAATATATGATATTCTACCTTAAGATATATGATCATATATTAGTTTTAAAATAAAATTAAATTAGACTGAGTAATGAATGAAATTTATATGATCATAAGAAAGATTGAATTCATGCTGAATCTTCAAAAGCTGTTTTATTTTTCTAAAATGAATAGAACTGGGAAAAACTATAATATAGACTTACGATAGAAAGTATAAGTGAAAATATGATTGTTAAGAAAATATGAACAAATGTAATAAAATTATAAGCTATAGATTAGATTAAATTTTTATAACTATTTATGTATATTTTTGTAGAAGTAGTTGATTTAAAAGAATCAAATCATTTTATATGTATTAAAAGATTATACTTTTCAGTTTAATTTTCAAATTGATTTATTATAAAGTTTTAAAACTATTTTAGAGATAAGATTGAAGGAGAAAGAAATAACCAGAATAAAAGTTAGGAAGTGGTATAGTGTATAAATGATTGAGAAGATCTTTTTGTTTGATTAGTTAGTGAGTTATAATTTCTTTGATGTATGTAGCATGTAATTTCCGTTAAAAAAAAAAAGATTAATAAGATTTATGCATGATTTTAAAATTTTCAAAAGGCAAAATGTTTAAAAATGTGTCTTATGGAGATGACTAAAGATTGTTTTATAGGATATGGACTACGATATACTAAAAATAGTAATATACTAAAATATTGTAATATTTGGACACACAAATTTTAGCTATTCAATAACACAGTATGGTTTAATATAATTAAATTATATTATGAAACATACGAAAAAATTACATTATGGATATTTTAAGAAAATATGACTTCATACATATGATGTGACATATACATATGATATAATATTAAATTATTTTAGTTATTATTTCATAAATATGATGTGACATATATATTATATAAAATTAAAAAGACAAAACTAAAGATTAAGCTAAAATTAATCAAAGTGCATTGTGTTTTGTCTCCTTTAAATATCTCTATTTAATTTTACTTAAGTGCATATATCATTTAGCTAAAATAAATAAATAATGAGAGAAACACCAACCATTTGCTCTCTCTGGAGAGATTTGGGAGCTATCTCCGGCTCAACATCCTCCAAGTGAATATATACTGAGCATTTCAACTTTACTAGAACAGTTCAGCCAATCCTATTTAGTTGTTCCCTTTCATTAAAAATGGAGGACTTAAGAAATGACTTTGAGAAAGCATAGATATGTTTTACCCCAAACTAACATTATTAGTCAAGCTGAAAAACTGTTTCCTTTGATAGATCAAGAAAAGATTACACTCATATTCAGGGGCGAAGTCAGCTTGATGAGTATGGGGACACGTGCACCCATTGTTATTTTGATTTTAAAGTTTTATTGCGCAATACGGCTGAAATAGCTTATTTGGTAAAGGTGTATCCACATCTTGCAAAGTAACCATAGT